ACCAGAAGGGACGTGGCTTCTCCCTGCTGCCGCTTTCTGCGTGGAGCGTCGCTGTGAGTCAAAGCTGCCTGCGTGTAATTGATCCTGTGTCAGGTTAGACAAGTAGCGCTTTGCATCCTTCTAACTACGTGCCCCAAAAGAGTGGAATGGAGAGCCAGAGGCATGGCAGGCTGGTAGGGTGCTTGGCATCTGCTGAGCAAACGTCTGTGTGCACGCATAGGTGCACACAGCACTAGGTGACCACAGAATGTCTTGCAGATGGGATCGTAGAGGTAACCATGCATATGGTGTGTCTTAAGGTTTCTTTTATGGACTTGTTCTGTAGCGTAGAGATTCTTATGCATCTCAGAAGAGACCGACTGGATTTGCTGTTACGTTCTTTCCCAGTAGGATGGTATCTGACTCTTTACATGCTGCAAATTGCAGAGAATCACAGAGTATCTAGAGTTGGAAGGGACCCATAAGGATCATTGAGTCCAACTCCAAATGCTCTGCTCTATCCGTGTGTCTTGTGATAGACATGTTGTACCACATAGCATATTGCAGGATTCTGAAGGCAGTAGCCTTAAGATAAGTAAATTGCATCTTACGCTATCTTAAGACGAGATTGTATGGAGAGTAGGCACAGGTGTGTTATCCCACAAGCACAGCTCTGCCTACCTAGGTATGGACACCATGACCATGTTTCATTGCCACAGAACATGTAAATTTTGTGGCAGTAAGAGCACGTCCTTGACAAACCATTATACGTAGTTTAAAAGATTTCAGTAGGGTGGATACCTTTAGAAACAAATCTCATTTTCTCTTTTTCGTTATTAACTTTCTAGTTTCTAACCTTTTTTTGCAGCCCTACAGTTGCCGTGGGCTGTTATAAATTCTCCCATATTAGCATTTTTTTACAAGATATTTGCTAGGAATTACAACTTGGGACTAAAAGTACATTGTGGTATCTTTAACTCCTCTAAACAAAGGCAAATATAGTTCTCAAAAGCCCAAAAGCAAGACTATAATAATTCCATGCTTAGACTGTAAAGCATGTAGTTTATGCTTTCTATAATATGCTGTAATTAAGATATGACGAATGTGGATGAAAGTAATAGTAAAACAATTTTTTGGCCAAGGTGTCTAATTGCGTATCTGTGCTCACTTAAAGCTTTGTTTTGGCAAGGAAAGAAATCAGTCTTCCATCTAGCTCAGTCAATATGAGCTAACCAAACCGGTCTGAAACTTGCTAGGTTTCTTGCTCAAGACAGACAATATGTAGTGTGTGTTGGGCAAAAATGGAACTAGTACCTTTCCAGTTTAATCTGTGTATAGAACTGTATATTTAAAGTTAGTGCTACCTATGTTTCTTTTTTAAGAAATAAAATACTTAAAAATGAGCGTACAGGCTAGTCTGTTTTTTACTTGCATGAGAATTAGAGTTACTCTCAATTGGAACTGAGTTATATTCTTCACTCATGGTGATAATTCTTTGCCTGTCACATTAGGAAGGAAGATTGCAAGAAGTAATTGAAAACCTTCTCTCCTTGGAAAAGCAAACACGAACGGTAAGTAGCGTATGGTGCTCAACATTTAGGCTGGGTTGTCCTACACACCCCCTTGTTCCGCTGCATTAAAATTGTGAAGGGAATTGGAGTATCAGTCTTTCTCTTTTGTTGTTCTTTTCTTTAAAAAGAAAATCAACAAAGCTAGATATGGTCAGGATTTTTTTCCTTTGTATAATAGAAGTGCAAGTGTGTAGAGGTCTGCAAGTTGTTTATCCCATCACTAATATGCTGTTTGTTTGTTACAGGCGTCTGACATGGTCTCTACATCCCGTATCTTAGTTGCTATAGTGAAAATGTGTTATGAAGCTAAAGACTGGGATGCTCTTAATGAAAATATTATTCTTCTATCAAAGAGAAGAAGTCAGTTAAAACAGGTGAATTTAATCCTTTGAAACAAACAAAAAAAAAATTGTATTTGGAGCTGTATTATGTATCTGATTCCGCCTTGTGTGTAGGGACTTTCCTGACTTTGTAGCACCTGCCTGAATATATTGTAATTAGTTTCTGTTGACGTTTTTTGGTAGGCATAATGAAAACCAATAATGAAACTGATGTCTGGAATTAGTCTGTCTTCAATTTGTGTCTGAGATCTGTGTGGCCCAGCTTGCCAATCTTGGCAAAACAGCTGTGACTTTTCTGTTTTTGGTGCATACCAGTGCTTTTAGATGGTAGTTCATCTTTACACTCTTCTAAGTCTGTGTTGTAGATCTAGTCTTCATTTTTCATGTTCCTGTGAGGTGCACGTTAAACGAGTTATTGCAATTTATGGCGATCAAATAAGGTGTATGCTTTACATGCTTGCTTTTGAAACAGTCGTACTCTGGAATTTAGTTCTGTCTGAGAAATTGGCTATCAGGATAGCTGAAAACACTTGCATTTAAGAAGGTGCAAAGTTTAGTGCACTGTGTGTTCAGTTTGACTTAATTAGAAGTTAGCAACAGGTAATTTTAATGGCATCATTGCTTTAAGAAGAAAAAGGTTACCTACTTTTTAATGAGCAGAAACAGTAGGAGTTTGTATACAAGTGGAGTACAATTTAGTTCTCTAACTTGCGCAAACTGTGGCTGAAGACTTGGGTCATTTCAGCTGAATTTTCTTCTTGAGGAAGAAGCTTCTAGAAGTTTGATTCTGGTCTTAGAAGTAGGTATTTTAATAATAATTGCAATGGCTTTGTCAGCGTGTGTTACCAGAAGAACATATTCCAGTACTTATGCTTGCCACTGAAGGATGCTGGCGTATTAGTGCCTGTTTGGGAATATGCAGAGGTGGAAAAGCATCACTCAGAAATCATTACACCCCCGCCCCCCCTTCCTCAAAAATCTACACGTGTCCTAAAGAGAAGGGCTAGTGCACACACTTAAGAGAAGATGTATCTTCCCTTTAGCTATGCAGGTCTTAGGGCAAACAGGTACATCTTGTCAGTTCCTGTGAGAGTTGTGTGGATTTGCTAGAAGAGGAGTACTACATTTCAAGAGAGAACCGCATGGGACGATTTATTTTTAATATCACTGGAAAAACTGAGAAGAAAGAAATGACAGAACAGCATCTCATTTGACTTCTACCATCAGTCGCTAGCGTCATTTTATACATTTTTGTGAATCAAAGTGATTAGATGTATCTTGTATGCTTTTTGTTGAGATGAGTCGCTTTTTTGATACAAAACTAGTACTTCTCTCTAAGTGTTTGAATGCATTTGAGAAATCTAAAAACACAGTATGTTTTCCTTTTCTGTTATTGTATCTAGGCAGTTGCTAAAATGGTCCAGCAGTGCTGCACTTACGTTGAAGACATCACAGACTTACCAGTCAAACTGCGCTTAATTGACACGTTGCGTATGGTTACAGAAGGAAAAGTAAGATTTTGTTTTAAGACTGAATATCTAAAAGGTAGAATAAAAATGTTCACCTTCTTTAAAAGCATAGCTTCTTAACGTTATTTTTAAATCTTGTTCAAATAAGAGCAAAAGTATATTTTTAAATTAACCTGAGAAGTCAAAGTAGTGTATTTCTTTCCAAAAGACTGCACATATTTTCAAGATTTCGTATTTAAATAATTTGCTGAAACATTGGTCATATTTTCGTGACCTAGATATTTGGAGTTCTAAAATGCCATACGTTTTTCACTTTTTAAAATGTCATGTATTTGAATTTGTTAGAGACATGAGCAGGTTTAGTTTACTTTCTCCTGGGCTTAACAAGGCGTTATGTACAGTTACGGTAATGAAAAGGTGATATCAAAGCATTATACCCAGTTAATTATTTACATAATACTGCTTTTACTTTAAGAAAATAAACAATTCTGCATGAAGGCAAATTTGTATTTATGTTACAGCTTTTGCCTGTTCAAAGTTAGTCCAAATTGTTACTAATCAAGTATTGTTGATTTATGGATGGTTAGGAGTGAGTGAAATAACGCAAATGGTAGTACTTAGTACACATGAACCATTAAAGTCTTAACTTCATACCTCTTCCAGTATATTTTGGCAGACAAAACATCTAATGCTTCATTCACAGTGCACATCCTTTTATGTTTGCTTAAAGAATGGTAGATGAATTTAGACATTATTTTTAGATTAATTTGGTCCAAATACTTCTGATGTGTCAACTATCCATCACATTTTATTTGTGTATGTTGTGGATAGTATCAGTATAGCGTATGGGTACACAAGGAATTAATTAATTGGTTGCATGAAAACATCAAATACATGTCTTTGTGGGGTTGTGGTCTTAGAGTTTGCATTCTTTAGAAAATTCCAGTATTCAAACTACTCCTCCTGATTTCAGATATATGTGGAAATTGAACGTGCTCGCCTGACAAAGACACTTGCAACAATAAAAGAACAGAATGGTGATGTGAAAGAGGCTGCCTCTATTCTGCAAGAATTGCAGGTAACACGCTGTGTAACTCAAAATTGCGTCAGCAATAAAAATGAAATCTGACTGCCTTTAGATTATTGGAATTACTGTTACTAGTGAAAGTGTAATTCAGTTTTAGCTGCTTTTGTTAGTCTCATGGTTAGGTTACATAGATTTCAATTCTCTAGGTAGTGCATTGAGTTTAGTGGATTTTCTGGTGTAAGTGGGGGCTATAATTTAAAATTGAATACCTTTTCTCCATTTTCACATGCTCTGGAGCAGCTCTTTTTTCTGGTGTTTTGGTTTGTGTTGCTCTACTTCCCCCTGCCAACCTCCCACTGTTCTTGCCCAGTTAAGACTTCTTGATTTGATTTTGAAAGTGTTGAATAGTTAAATTTTCATTTTAGGTGGAAACCTATGGTTCAATGGAAAAGAAAGAACGTGTAGAATTTATCTTGGAGCAGATGAGACTCTGTCTAGCTGTGAAAGATTACATTCGGACTCAAATCATCAGCAAAAAAATTAATACAAAATTTTTTCAAGAAGAAAACACAGAAGTAAGTAATTGGAGGATTTCTCTCTCCCCCTGTCCCCATTCCAATTTTAATCTGACATGCCTCTCTTCAGGTCCAAGTGTATTTGAATCCCTCTGTTTTCTGGTATCCAGTTGGTTTTCATTTACATGATTCATGGAGCTGTATTAATCTTACTGTTTGATACTGTTTCAGAAACTAAAGTTGAAATACTACAACTTAATGATCCAGCTGGATCAACATGAAGGCTCCTACCTCTCCATCTGCAAGCACTACAGAGCCATTTATGATACTCCATGTATCCAGGCTGAAAGTGAAAAGTGGCAGCAGGTAAAAAACCATTGCATACAAATGTCTGTTTTTTCATGTGGCAAATACCCATTTCATTACTAGATCAGTTTACAGCAGGTTAAATGGCTCATCAGTGTGTTGTTTGTAGTTTTTTTTAATGGCTTTATTAACACATTGATTGGTTGAAAACAGATATAATAAAGTTGATTATTCATGAATATTTATTAACTATCATCATTATATTGTCTTTGAAATCTTGAGAATGTCTATTTTATAAAAGTGCAGAAATTAGAAACAGCTGTGTGAGTGTGGTCTAAATAACACTGTTGTGTATGCAAGACAAATTTTGCATATTTGACAAGATTTTTTTAAACGTATTTATTTTAAATACTAGAATTTTAGTTAACCTGAATCAACTTGAATCTGTCACTGTGAATGAAGGTTCATTTCTGCAAGATGACATCAGTTTCACCTTAACTTCTTAATACGCTGGGCTTAAGCCGGTTATATTCTAAGCTCTGTGGGCAGTGTTTATAATTGTTTAGTTATGGGGAAAAAACAGACTCTTTCCTCTTAAACAGGCACTGAAGAGCGTTGTTCTTTATGTTATTCTTTCACCTTATGACAACGAACAATCTGATTTGGTGCACAGAATTAGTAGTGACAAAAAGCTAGAAGAAATCCCGAAGTATAAGTAAGTATTCTTTCTAATAAACAGTTCTTAGGTTAAAAAAAAAAAGACTCTCTCTCAAACTAGCTGTGCAAGTCTGCCGTAAGCATCTCAGAATTTAACGCTGCGTGAAAAATACTGCAAAATTATCATGAATGTGCAAGTTCTACATTAAATATCTCTTTATAAGAGAAAAATCTTTATTAGAAACACAGTCTGACTTGAGCTGCCCCTGATAGCGTGAAGTATTAGAGTGTGTTCACGAAGAACGATGAATATTAATGGTAATAAAATTAAAACATTTAAAATTAGTTCCTTGATCTATTTAAGTATGAAATGAGCCTTACTAATACAGGATTGTAAATCCAACTTTACTAAACCATTTAGAGACCTCCTAAAACTATTTACCACCATGGAATTGATGCGATGGACTGCCCTAGTTGAAGAATACGGGAAAGAATTGAGAGAAGGATCCCTTGACAGTCCTGCAACAGATGTTTTTGGCTGTACAGAGGAAGGTGAAAAGAGATGGAAAGATTTAAAGAATAGAGTTGTGGAACATGTAAGTATGGTTGTCTTTAAGTGTTAGCTATGTGCCTCAACGAAAAATACTTTTCACTTGCCATATTTTAGTTACAAAGAGAAACAGAAAAAATATGTAGTACAGCAGCAGCAAAGTTGCCTTTTCCATTGTGTTATATTTTCAACATTTTATTTGCTCGTATATCTTTGTTATAGATTGGTATTTGGCACAGTTGCCAGAAGGAGCATATTGCACTCAAATGGTGAGATTTAGCATTCATATTTCAATAGAGCAGAAACTTGAAAGTCTTGCTTTGTATTAAAATCATAATTAGTTGATTTCATTACTTAATAATTTGTCATGTAGAGACTTTTATACCTTCTATAAGCAAAAGAACTGTTTGTTCACAATTCCCTCACGTACCTTATGCTGGACTGCTGTTAGAGCACTACAGCTCCTAATCTGTTTTAACATTGACTTTTATATTTTTGCAGCCTGCTTCAATTATTTTTTGCACATAACCCTCTATTCTGAACACTTTTATTCCAGAATATTAGAATAATGGCTAAATATTATACCAGAATTACAATGAAGAGAATGGCACAGCTCCTGGATCTGTCCGTAGATGTAAGTGTTTCTTTCATAAATGGCATGGAAGTGTATGTGTACATGTGTTTGTGGCAAAAATGTAAGTATTTAGCAGAGTAATGTTCTCTTTTGATTTGAATGTGAGTTATCTTTGTAGCTTAAAAAGGTCTGTAAGTGGTGCCATAGATAGTCACTGCATTGTTTTACAGACAACGCAGGAAGATATGGCTTGTAGAAATACACTGCTTGGTACAAAATTCTCAGGGTTTATGTGTTAATGAATGTTCATGGATATAGTATCTGTCGTATCTCTATATATCTGCCTTTGTATTATCCTTGCAGCTCTCCTAGCTTCATCCTTATTATAACTCCCCAGCTCGTGTTACCAGTGCTTTTCAGCGGTTTCAGAAGAACAAAATGTGCTATAGAGATAGACAGGGAGCATTAAATTAACTTTAGTTGATTGGGTTCTTTTTATGAGAAGTAGCATAGAAGTCTATTGGGAGTAATAGTATTAATCCAAATATTTGTTGCTTTACTAGTCAATACGAAGACCTGTGTGTATTTTCATGCCTTTATGGGAGTTAGAAAATCCTTTTTTAATCCAGGCAGAACTCAATGTCGTGATGCATGTATCCATAAGGCAAAAGCTGTTCTTAAAAATTAATTTATATTCAAGGTCTCATGTAAACGCTGGAGCTTCCTGTCTTGTATTTCAGCATCAAAAAAGCTCTTGTCAAGGGGTGATTAAAACTGAAGATACAGGGTTTCTCACCTTTAAATGTCCCTGTTTATAGATGGTTGCACTTTGAGAACAATCAATTGTTTGGGAACAGTCAGTCCCCTCTGTGTTTTCAAGAGCTTTCCAAAGAGATTCATACATCATGGCATATTGGTATTTCAAGTGCAAATGAAGAGCTTTACCCTACTGTCTTTTAATTAAATCTGCTCTTTTCCACCAACTCAGAATAAACCTTCTTTGACAGCGGTCAGTAATTTACATGGATTTTCCTATGCCTTGCTTGTTGGAAGACTTGTTCTGATACCTGTGTAGCCAAGTACTCTAATGTGTAAAAGTCTGTTGGAGTAGTATATTAAACTTTTAATTTCATGAAAGGCAATCAGTTATAGGTCAAATTAAAAAAAAAAAAGTTTTTAATAGAAGGTGCTAGTAGCTTGTAGTGCCAATGTGTAATATTAAAGTATTGTGCGTAAGTATAAAGAACACCTTTTTCTCTGTGTTTTAATACTGTTTGGGAGGAATGCTGATGCTTTGTAGATAAAAATGCTGTTTTCTTGATGTAGTGCTGTTTGTCTTTGCAGGAATCGGAGGAGTTCCTGTCTAACCTAGTAGTTAATAAGACCATCTTTGCTAAAGTAGACAGGCTGGCTGGTATTATCAATTTTCAGAGGCCCAAGGACCCAAACAATATACTCAATGACTGGTCTCACAAGCTCAACTCACTAATGGCCCTAGTTAACAAAACCACACATCTCATTGCCAAAGAGGAGATGATACATAACCTGCAGTAAGGTGCCTCAGTAATCTCAGTGCTTTTAAAGAAGGCATTAAATCTTCATAATAGAGACTATTATTACAGTGTGTATATGGTTTGTTTTCTCCCTGTCAAGCCTTCCTGGTCTAAAATTTAGAACATAATTCTGAAATTCCTGTTGACAATTAAGTTCCCTTGATTATTCATTCAGTTGTTAAATGTTTTTGCTACAATTGGTGAAAGAACATAATAAAACGGTATTGCCTGTACAATAGTAGTCTTGTGATTTCTTTTTTCCATGTATACCTTTATCTAACACATAATTCTGTGGTTATTTCATTACAGGGCTATTTTTGAGGCTGTGATTGAGACGCTATACTGTAAATAATAAAATCCTAGGGGTTTACAGTAGCATGCCTTGAGGTAACTTATAATGATAATATTATAATGTTATGCCAAGATGCTGTTTGAACAAAATTCTGTATGTTCATGCTTAAGATTAATGCTATTTCTTGTAGTTTGGGACTATGGTTAGGCTTTATTAATTAATTCTGAGCTGACTGAGAAATCTACCCGAATCTTGTCTGTTTGGTGCAAGTCACTAATTTTCAGTTTTGTTGTTCCAGTTTGTAATGGCTACAATAGCAATTATGCAATTAACTAAGATAGTACTTCAAAGCTGCTGCTCCTCATTATTGCATGTGTTATATTCAGACAAGGTATTATCTGCTTTAACCTACTTGTAATGCAGTGAAGCTGTAGATTTTTTTCCCCGTGTCCCTGTTCTTTTAAGGAAGTAACTCTTTTTAAGAAAGCAAAATAGTAGCACAAATAGTATAGTAGGAATCAATGGAACTTTTATTGAACTTGCTCTTGTTTTTAATGATTTTTTAATGCTATCCATAACTAGCTATTCCGTTTGTAATTAATTAGGTAGAGACCATAACTGCAAATGATGCATTGAGATGTATATAAATCCTGTCTCTTTAAAAGCACACTGAACTTCATTCAAACTAACACTCTTAGCACAGGTAATTATCATATGAATACACAGTAAGTCAGGAAACTTTAGATGGTGATTTTGAGTCTGGGAATTCTGTGAAGGGATGGGAAAAAATGGAAGCTTCGAAGCAGTGATTTGCATTTGAAATGTAGACTTTGGACATAGCTTAAGGGAAACTTGGGAATGCCATTTTGGAGACAAGTAACTTTATCGAGCCATGTTAATCTAGCTCACTGCATTTAAGCAACAGAAAACCAGCTGAACTATCAGGGGAGGGAGAAAGAGAAGCAGACCGTTTAGAATGTATAGAATGCTTACCGTCTAATGTCCTAAATTGTATTATAATCCCAGTTGTACAAGTTGTGTAAAATCTTGTCACAGTCATGTCTGAGAATGGGATGTACTGGTCTTTGTAAGCAAAACTGGCTGCTGCCAGGATAATGAACACAGCAACTTCAGTTTTGACCTTGTTGATTGAAGAAAATCAATCTTTTGGAAACTGAGGCAAGAGGTATCAGAAAGGGGAACAATGGGTCATCAGGGGAAGTGGGAACTTGCCTCTCCCTGTTCTTATCATAAACCTTATTACTCCATTTGCCAGTCTGGTCTGGAATCTTCAATCCCAAGCATTTAAGCTTGTGGGCTCTGTGATACTTCTATCAGATGAGAGATACTGGACCTGTTTCCCCAGCCAACCCTCTTTTCCTTTTTATTCTCAAGTGGGATGGTTCAGCTGTTTCCTGTCCCAATTTTCTGGGGTTCTTGTGGATCCTACTCCCTCTCTGGCCTAGTTATATCCCTCTCTGCTGCCTTTGTTTGTATTTAGAGCATGAGTTTGTTAGAGGGAAGAGGTGGTTTCTCTCCCCTTGCAATTACCTTCTGCTGTCAGCATTGGAAAGAACATGGAAGTGTTCTTACCTTTCAACAGTCCCGGTATCTCCTTAAAATCAATTCAGAAGGATGATGAGGGTTTACTTTCATAGTCTGTATTCATACCAAAGATCCACAGTGATCAAGCTTTTTGCCTTTTGGTCCGAAATAGATTTTTGTCCTCACTGAGTTCACTTACACCACCTTCATCTTGGTTTGACAACATACTGTCTATGGCAAACTTCCTACCTAACCCTATCCGCAGAGTGAGATACCTGTTGTGTACCTAGTACCGGGTGCCAGAAGCAAGAATCCCTCAGGGTTTGCTTCCCCACACATCACAAAGTTAAAAGAGGAGTTTTAAAACAAAATTGTAGAATTACTAGGCAGTACGGTAAGCCCAAGTGAGTGCAAAAGAAGCCTGGAGTGTGCCGGGTTCTGGTTGTTTTTTTGGTTTGGTTTTTTTTTTTTTGGCATCAATTTACTATTAATGAAAATGAGTGTGTACCTTGAATCTCTCTGGAAAATGTCGCCACATTGAGGTTGCTAGGAAAAAAGACAAGCTGTAAACTTCGGTGCTAGTTCATCTCAAGAATGCAGATATACGTCAGGTGGAACTCCTCCATGAGCAATTTAGAGGTCAACATAAAGGCATGCTAGCTTCTTAAAATGCATGGAGATTGAAGATCGTTGATCTTGACAATGTGGGATCAAACTATTGCATTAATCTGAACTTTGTAGTTCCTATCTCCTCATGTACCCTCAACATTCCCTTATTGCTGTTTGCTTCTCAGCACTCTCATTTTGTGGATCAAAGGAAAAATGAATTAGTTTGAATATTACTTGCTCTAGAAATGGTATGTGTTTAAGGAGTCCACGTTGAAGAAATGTTATCCTTGGGTAATTATGAAGTAAGATTGAAGTTGAGATCATCTGTTCGTAAGAGGACTCTGGAGGAATTCCAGGGGGATTTCCATGCTGGAAAATCAAAACGTGCTACTCTTCAGCCTAATAATCAGACATTAATGGCTGCCTAGAAACAGTTTGCTTTATTGTTTAGTAAGACTAAGAATTACTGTTGCTATCTAACCTCAGGTCTACCACTGACTTGTTTGTGGCAGAGGGTAAACCACTTAACTTCTGTTAGTTTCCCATGATTGCTGCTTCTGAGGGAGTTCAAAAATTTATAAAGGTCTGGTGTGCTAAGACAATAAAAACATTGCTGCTATTACTGCAATCAGTCTGGAACTTTTCTTGAGAAAGGCCTGGTTTTTGTTTCTTAGAGGTGAAAACTGCGCAAGATGCCTGCTGGGGTGTTAAGCTGCAGGGTCAGGGAGGCAGTTTGGTGCTGAAGGTGTTCTATACTTATGACTTTTACATGTTAATTGTAATGTTTTTTCCTGTATTCTGAAGTTAGACATTGTGAGTGGAGCTGATTGAAAGTCTTGTTTTCTGTATTGGATTTCAAGAAATGCCAGTTCCTAGAAACAGGAGTGAACTTTATCATGGAATAGAAATTGATTTTCTGAATTTAATGTGAAAGCAGAAGTCTGAGGAGAAAAGAAAAAAAGCAGCGGTGTAAGTTTGAAATAATTAAAATAGTTTTGTTTTGAAAATGTAGAAACCAAGCTATAGCTGTGATGCTAAGTGTGCAGCTCATGGGCGAGCCAGGACTCTAGGGCTTTTTGGCTACGAGCTCTCCATTAGCCCTGAAGCAAGTGAGGGTTTCTGAGTTCCCAACTTTTCCAGAATCTGTGCCACACCTTTCAGAGCTCTGCTCAGATCTTGGCTTCGTGGCAGGGAGCCTAGCAGCCCTGAGTGGCCCCAGGTTTTCAAACTCCTGTTTTTTGGCAAGGAGCCTAGATTCTCCAAGGACCTGGGCATGGCTCCTAGCTTCACAGAACAGGGAGAAGCCCTGTGAACAGTCATTAGTAACAGAATTCTGACTTAAGGGTAAGGAGACTGGATGCGTTAGTGCCTTCTGAACAGGGCTTCCTTGCAGTTACGGTCCCTGGGAGGTTGGGCTTTCTAAACTTCCAGCAGGAAATTGCAAATTTCAGATCTGAAAGGTTTTGAAATCTTAAAAAATGTAAAAGTGGAATTGAATTTGGTTTTGCTGCATTTGTTGGAGGGGTTGCTTTGCTTTTGTTTTAATCTTAGCATTATAACGAGTTCCTAGAAATATCACTGTTAGGCTTTTAAGGATCTGAGTCCTGTCAAGTCTCATGATGCTGAGCAGAGATTCATTGATTTTGTTCCTATCTCATCCCTTCTCATTGTGCCTTTGGTCTTTCTTATATTTGCAACATATACTGTTGCTTTTCTTCTGCTCCCAGACTCCACGTGATCAGCTGCTCCTGGTCTTCTCACGCAGAAGAAAAAGAGTGTGCTGCAACCAGTGCAAACCCCACATTTCTCAGGAGAAGCTCTCCTCTTGTCATGAAATCCCATTAGTGAGCATAGCACGTGGGGATTCCAGGAACTTATAAAGTCTGGACAATTCTGAAAATTCAAGCCAGCAGTCAGCACGTAACACATCTGTTTCTGTGCCCAGCCCATGCTGAGTGAAGCCCTGGCTTGTCAACTCAGCCCGTTGAGTTAGGAATGATGTGTTTGATTGCAGAGGTTGGAAGCCAAAATTGCAGCTTCCACTGGGGTAATACACATCAAGGAGAGAGAAAGAGACCTCTCATAGAGTCCCTCCCACAATAGCAGCTAATATTATAAGCTTATATTTCCTTAAATTATCCTTTAATACTGTATTGAAACTTGTCAATAAAAGCCACAAGAAGTCTCTTTCTTCCCATGTAGTATATAAGCGGTTGCTAGTGGCATACTCTGCCTTCTTTGCTGTTACAATAGAAGTAGCTCTGAAACCAAAGTTTAGTTATATTTAGGCCCTTAGGATTTGGAATCTCATCCTGCGGGCCAGCTGCAGTACAATTTCCACTTTGAGCAGAATTTCTGAAGTTAATGAGTGCTTGGAGCCCAAATTTGTTTTGGACCAACAGTCCTCATCTTTCTATCTGGTAAAAAAGACTGTGAAAGAGCTTGGAGGGGGCACCACATGGAAATAATACAGTTATCCCAATCTTGCAGGCTCAGTGGCAGTACTTGAACAAAATGGGGCTTGGCAGCCAACCCCATCTCCGAGCTGCTAGCTCCCTCGGTAGCCTCTGGCATGTCCGCTTAGGGTTTATGCAATACAATTAACCGGTCTACAAAATAGAGTAAAACCTACTTCATACAGGGGCTAAGAGGTTTAATTTAAGTAAGAAGATCATAAAAAGCTGTGGGTGTAAGGGCATAGTCTTCCTATGGTGTTTTATACACAGCACTTTCTCTGAGATGAGGGGTTCCGCTGCTGCCGTAGTTTTCCCCAGCTCCTTTCTGGGCTGTTTCTACAGTGCTGAGCTGCC